ATTTCCGAGTGGGGGGGGGCAGGCTCCCCCTCAGCTACGGGCCTGCTCTCTTCTTAATAATAATAACATTAAATGCTGTATCTTGACTGCAGAGTGACGAAGAAGAACCAGATGAGCTTCAAGAAGCCAAGAAGAACACGATGATGAATGAGGATATCGAAGAAAAACAAAAACCGAAGGAAGAAACTAAGGTATGAAGTGGAAACACTTGCAGTTCATATAACGACATTGAATATACAATATATATGAATCTGTTTCGTGTATTCGTCTAATCTGTCGTAAATTTCTCTGAATTTCTAGAGCCTTGCAGAGAGGATACGTGCTGGAAGGTAAAATAAAGCTTTTTATATCCGTAGATAGTTTTACTAAGCATTTCCGTAGGGCAGATGGTGGTCAAGATTGCAGTTATCAAAGTGAAAAAAATAATGTTAATTCTAAGTCAGCGCTTCAAATAACGTTCCCAAAGTTCCTGATCATGGTGATCGGCAGTCATGACTTTCCCTGCTCTTTCGAGTTGGAAACCCTGCTTTTCCGCCGATCATAAGAAATTTCTTGCCGATCATTGATCGGCTGTTATTCCAAGCCCTGATTCTTTCATTATATGTTGTAGTCTTCTATTCGAAATCAAACAAATGAAAGTGAGACATCTAGTTCTTGCTGCTGCTATCAGAATTGATATTTCTGAAGTTGAAAACCATCTGCTGTAACGCTTATTGGAGGCCGATATACATAGCATAACTTTTGTCTAAAACTGTCGCATGTAGAGTAGTAACTCATGCTTACAACTTGTAAATCAAGCACACAACTCGTCCACGTTGTTGTAGGTGAGTTAATTGCTTTGTGTGCTTGATTTACACAGTATAATTACTCAAGTTGTAAGCAGGTTGCATGCGACAGTTTTAGGCAAAACTTGTGCCTTTACGGCTTAACCGTCGCATTCACATTACGCCGGGGCGCGAAATAGTTTGAAAACGTCACTTTTGTCGTAACAATTTGAGCACGGTTTCTAAACGCTTGGCGGCTTCGTGTCAACACAAACACCGTTACTTTTTTGTACCGCTTTTGCAAACCAAGCATCTCAGGTCTCAAAACGTGTGTTCACACTAGCCCGTTACAGTTTGCGATGTTACTCTGAGTGCATATCCACACCGGGCGAGCTTGAAAAATATGCCCGGCCACGGTGGAATTCGAACCTATACGACCTTTGGAATACTAGCCCAATGCTCTGCCAACTGAGCTACGCGGTCAGGACGGTTCGAGTAAGTGATATTTCGGAACAGTATCTAGTTCCTTCAATACCAATGTGTTCTAGTAATATACCAATGTGGGCTAGTATTCCAAAGGTCGTAGGTTCGAATCCCACCGTGGCCGGGCATATTTTTCAAGCTCGCCCGGTGTGGATATGCACTCAGAGTAGCATCGCAAACATATTATTCACCTGAGTACACAACACCAACACAGAAAAATCCGTTACAGTTTGTTTACAAATTAAATTAGCACTCATGTAAACCCAAAATATTTCAAATAGAGCAAAGAAATTTCAAAAGCATTCCAATTTACCGTTTTGAGACATGAGATGCTTGATTTGCAAAAGCGGTGCAAAAAAGTAACGGCGCGCGTGTTGACACGAAGCCGACAAGCGTTCCGTTTTCATCTAGATCCGTTTAGAAACCCTGCTCAATTTGTTACGACAAAAGTGACGTTTTCAAGTTAGACAATTCCCATTATAGACTAATTTTAAAACTAGGCATGGAGATGCAAATAAATCACCACAGCTAGAAAGAGCATACTAAAATTAGTAAAATTGCAAAGTTTGGTTGCGAAATGTTGTAAAATGCGGAAAATATAGCCTTGCAAAATTTGCAAATTTTGTGTACTTTTGTATTGCGTGCGGAAATTGCTACCACATTTGGGCCGAAAATGGTCGCAATTTCCGCACGCAATACAAAAGTATACAAAATTTGCAGACTTTGCAAGGCTATATTTTTCAAACCACTCCGGCGAGCGTAGTCTAAGATAGAAACATGCAAAGACAAATTCTGACAGCCGCGCTGTGACACAGATTACAACTCCCTGTGAAATATAAGCTGACAAATACCAATGTTCTTTTTTCTTAGGACGGGGCCAACTGATAGATATAAAAACACATCTAAAACCTCGGACAGTAAGATGCCGACAGATGTGAATACTTTACAAGATAAACTTCGAGAAACACAAACTGAACTCGATGAAACGAAAACTAAACTAGACAAAACAGTACAGGTAAGATCATCAACTATTTACACATGCGGGATATAGCTCTACTAATTCTAAACTGTTCTCCTTGGAAGTCTAGTAAGAGTCGTCTCTATTTGATCCAGGGTTACTACAGGAGGAAACCTAAACTAACTTTATTGATACTGGATAGCTCTATCAGTTCTAAACTGCTCTCCCTAGAGGTCCAGTATAAGGATCATCTCTTATTGATCCAGTGTTACTACAGGAGGAAACCTAAACTAAAGCAACTTATTTACACTGGATAACTCTATCAGTTCTAAACTGTTCTTCCTAGAGGTCCAGTAAAGATCATCTCTTATTGGTACAGTGTTACTACAGAAGGAAACCTAAACTAAACTAACTTTATTTACACTGGATAGCTCTATCAGTTCTAAACTGTTCTTCCTAGAGGTCCAGTAAAGATCATCTCTTATTGATCCAGTGTTACTACAGAAGGAAACCTAAACTAAACTAACTTTATTTACACTGGTTGGCTCTATCAGTTCTCCTAGATAGATGGATGAGAAATAATATGTGCAAATTCTTTATCGTTTAGGAGAAAAATAAATTAGAAAGAAAATTAGAAAATATGGAAGATGATTTAAAGGTAACCTCATTTTCATATGTTATACAGGATGTCAAGACCTGCCGTATACTCTCTTGACAAGCGAGAGTTTACATGAGAGTTTCCTCAACTTTCATTGCTTGATCAAACAAGAACAAGAGTTGCATGAAAGTTGAAAAGCGAGAGTTTACATGAGAGTTTTCTCAACATTCATTGCTTGATAAACGAGAACAAAAGTTGCGCGAGAGTTGACAAGCGAGAGTTTACATGAGAGTTTTCTCAACTTTCATTGCTTGATCAAACAAGAACAAGAGTTGCATGAGAGTTGACAAGCGAGAGTTTACATGAAAGTTTTCTCAACATTCATTGCAAGATCAAACGAGAACAAGAGTTGCATGAGAGTTGAGAAGCCAGAGTTTCCATGAGAGTTTTCTCAACTTTCATTGCTTGATCAAACGAGAACAAGAGTTGCATGAGAGTTGAGAAGCGAGAGTTTCCATGAGAGTTTTCTCAACTTTCATTGCTTGATCAAACGAGAACAAGAGTTGCATGAGAGTTGAGAAGCGAGAGTTTACATGAGAGTTTTCTCAACTTCTATTACTTGATCAAGCGAGAACAAGAGTTACATGAGAAGCGAGAGTTTACATGAGAGTTTTCTCAACTTCTATTGCTTGATCAAACGAGAACAAGAGTTGCATGAGAGTTGAGAAATACTTGAGAGTTGAGAAGCTTTGTGGTATAGGGATAAGTCAAAAGGGATAAGTGTACTTTGTAAAAAGGGAGAGTGGTCTCGAGCAGTTATATCCAACTCTATTGTTTACATTTGTTTTTCATTTTTATTTCAGCAACTAAGTGATTTGCGAGAAGACAATCAAAGACTAAAAGACGAGAACGGTGCACTCATCCGAGTTATTAGTAAATTATCGCGAACTCCTACGTGAGTGTCGCGCGAGGAGCTCGCGAGACCGCCGGCCCGCGTGGAATGCGCGTGTGTGTGCAAATTTAAAACTATTTCTTGTGTTTGGGACATTTTTGTTGTGGTCGCGACCAAAGGCAGGAACTTTAGAAATTTTTTTCATTACTGGCGCTCGTCGCTGGAAATTTGCGCACTGATTGTTAATTAAGACGCCCAATATGCGCGCCGGATGTCTAGGCGCAAATAATGCATCCTCTGACCTCGCCCTTGTACCTGCTTGCGCGCATTTGGCCGCAGCACGCGTGTATGGGCGGTTGGAAAGCAGCTAGCGCGCGTTTAATTCTAATTCGAATGTTTGGACCGCCATTTTCAATAAGATTGCGCAATTTATGCGAATTTTACAACTTGATCTGTTCAAATTTGTACGAAATTTTGAATGCGAATTATGTAAATGCCGTCCAAATATGCGAATTGTGATTTGCGCATCAGCTTGACTGTTGAAAAGACGGAATTTATTCAAATGCATCACACTGCATTGCATTTGCGCCAACATTGTGAGAACTAGCAGAAGACATTTTTGGCGCGCGCACTAGTACAGTGGCTTGCGCTTATATTATATTAACTTGAAATATTTTGTATGTGTAAATAAATGGTATTTTTCGTAAATGTGTACTGTGTTATTGAATCACTCTTAGGGTACATTGGTTCTGTACGCTACACCCGTAAAAATCTCACAATTTGTCAACAAGATGTGTGCGCAACAGGCTTGTAGCGAGCTTATCAACAAGTCGTAACAATGCAGTTATTTTATCAAGTTGCTACAAGGTTGTCACTCACAACTTGTCGGCAAATTGTGGAATTGCAGGACGATAACAAGTTGTTGGAACAACTTGTAACAAGTCTGTTGAGCTCAACAACCGCGTAACAAGTTGTCAACAAGCTGGGAACAAGCAGTGCGAACACATCCTGTTGCCAAGTTATTGGAACAGCATTGCCACAAGTCTGCTGCAGGTTCGTTACAACTTGTGTGTTTTTTACGTGTCTATTGACTGGATCACAGATTAAGAATATCCATACTTCGTATAAACCTACTAGTAGGCTATCACATATCGTGCCTTCTGATT